TATCACATTCCGTAGACAAACTATCTGAATATACGCGTACAGTATTTTTTTCTTCATTTCATTGCTTACGTTCATCAAACCAGCGACATTAGCCGACATTATTATTGAGTGGAAAATTACTTGAGCAAAGAATTAAGATTATAATTTATTTTTAGATTCTAGTTGGTTCTCTTCCAATTCAGTCTTTTATGAATGCGCGCATTTGACGACGAACACATCGACTTCGAATGGAAAAATAAGTGTGATGAGAAAAAACAACAACAAAAGTCTATGTGCACTTCGGTAAATCATCTAAATATGAATAGATAGCCCGCCGGAAGGAATTCAGACGATTGATTTATTTGAAAATTCGCTTTGTTTGTGGTTCTAATCACATAGGTGGTTTATTGGTGCCACTCAACCCAGTTCAGTTCATATCTGTCCCTTTTTGCGTATATTGTAAGTCTATCTCGCATTTATTTGCGATTTGTTATCAATTCTTCTTTCGCACATACGAAATTTTGAATGTGTATCTTCTTTTAGATAAAATAACACATTGAATTAAAAACTAACTTAATTTGGATCATTTTTTCTAATTTTCGGTTCATCAAATCGAATGCCAGCAATAGTGTAGCAAATTTTGTGTGCACATTAGTTATGCAGTCAACAATGAAAATAATAAAACGAATCAAATAAAACCACCATCAAAAAAATAAATAACTGAATTAATGAATGTATGCATGTAAATTGTATTGAATTCACGCCTTTCCACATTCAATCGATTGTTTTTCTCTCTTTTTTTTTTGAATGTTCACCTCATAGTTTTAGCACATTGACTTAAATATCGGTCCATAGCATTGAGGAAATCAATATATTGGTTTCTCCATTAAATCGCATGTGGTTTCATTTTTGTTATGTTGTTTCAGCCCATCCAATTCAAATTGGAAGTTATAAGATCAAGCATTTCATTCATTTTACTTATTATTTCGCATCACACGGTCATTCTCTATTCGATTCCAATTTGCGTCACTTAATCAAGCAATCTAGGTTAAGAATGTCAGCATCAATGTGTATAGTATACTGTCTCAGGAAGAAAAATGTTGTGACAGACATACAAAAAAAACCCTCGTCATACACACAGATGAATGGATATCATTTGAAATTTGATGAGAAAATGGCTAGTTGGTTTCACATGATAACCGTTTACGTTTGTTATTGCTTTTATCACAAATGTCATGTCGCTAACTTGCAGATGAAGCTTTTCATTTCATGGCCATAAACTTGGTTCAATTTTCATATTAGATGTATTTATTGCTTCACTTCGCCAGATTGTGCGCCACATATAGAAAATTGATGTAAAAAAATGTTGTAGAATGATGGAAAAAAGCACAAAATAAACCGGAGTAAAAAAGTTCCCACTGTAATACATCGAATGCCGTTCAAGCGAATTCCATAAGCGAACGAAACGACAACAAGAAAGCACAATGAAAACATTCATATAAATTGTGTCCAAATTTTCAATAAAAAAACTTTTTAACCCGAAGTGGAAAATTGCTTACATTCAACCAAAGTTCAACAAATTATAATTTTATCTCAAGTTTTTGTGTTGTGAATGAATTGTTGGAAAACTTGCCCGAACTTTTTAATACTTTAAACAATTTTTTTTTTTCGTGTACATATACAATCGGATGCAATTCATCTGACGACATCAATGACTTATCAACTAAGTGATTTATGGTGATTCAAGTTTTGTTTGTCATTTTGTAATTGAGTGTGTGTATGTTTTGTCGAATCAATGTGCAATTTACATGATGAGATAAATGAAATTAGATGTTCGATTAAACTGCCATATTTAACGATGATTTAGTTAATTGAATTTTGACATCAAAACTTGAAACTCACACTCACCGGACTTATGTTCGACAATTATCGTTGTGTGAATCTACTTTTTTCTACAATGTTAAACATATCAAATGAAAATTGAAATTAATGCAAATGAAACCATCATCAGATTAGAAAAGTAATCAAACGATAAAACAAAAATAATAGTGAAAATATCTCAAGCCGATCAAATTTTTCATTGATTTCATCGTCAATTTGCAGCTCATTTATCTGTACATCATTGCATGATTTCCAATTCAATTTGTGGTCCGTACTATTTTTCATGAATCGAATGCAATTAAGACGTATCGAGAAATGCAACAGTAAATTCCGTCTACGTTTTATTTTAACAAAAGCATCTAAAGTTAATTGTACATTTTGAACAACGTGTTTTCTCTTATTTTTATGTGGCCAAATTAAGGGCAGCAATCAAATCGATTTATCTTGGGCAGCAACAACAACGCATTATTCGCGAATAGCTTAGCTTCTCCATTTGCTATTTATTGGTTTTATTGACGTAATATGAGAATTTTCAAAGTGGTTTCACTTTATTGGCTCTCTATCTCTCCATTTCGTTCTTGGGTTTGGTTCGAACAATGACGGTCAGTGGAATTGCCATTTTGGCGTCTAGCTACAGTGCTACATACCAAAGCATAGTCGGCAACGCAATGGAACTTTTGGTGTTTGTTGTCTTCCAGCTCTTGAGGCCACTCATATTACACGCATGTGGGCGTAATTGTTTGTGTATGAATTCGTACGCAATCATATCAATTAAATGTTCAATTGTACAGGCAATGTATAGAGTGATCCAAAATTTGTACAAATAATTGCTTGTATTTTCAAACAAGCATACGTGAACACCGTAGATACTCATATCGCACATAACAAGTAACTAGAAAGATATGCTGACACAACATAAATGGCATATTGTGTTCCCGTTCCAGTTAAACTTTTGTGTATACGGTGAACAATTCATTCGTGCTATGTGTATTTCAATTTGAACGCGTCAAACACAAAGTGCGGTAGGCCCCCGAAACAATATTGGCGGCTTTATACACAGACCTCGATGTCGTTGAGCATGTTTAAATAACCATAAATAATTTTGTCTCACACTTGTTACACACCGTTGTGCATGTACTGTATGTGCATTAGGGTGTTTCCACATGGAAAATATTAAAAAGTGGCTAGTATCATTTTGAAGAGCGTAAAATTCTGTATAAGATTATGTGATTTTCGATGCTGATTGGTCGCCGATGTCACTTCCTGAACTAAAAACACATTTGTAAATTGATTTCATGTCGCATTCACGCCAAAATCTGTAATTGATGAAAATATAAGATTGAACAAAATTAAAAACATAAAAAATAATTTTAATATCAATATTATTGCTTGAATATTAAAAAAGTAACACAAAAACTAACAATTTTACCACAATGAACCAAAACAATGCAAAATCGCCAATTCATTTGACAGAATGACATTTGAAGCGTGATTTGCTCACGCATGACAAATGACAGGTTATGTGTCAAATGAATTGGCGATTTTGCATTGTTTTGGTTTATTGTGGTAAAATTGTGAGTTTTTGTGTTACTTTTATTAATATTTAAGCAATTATTTTTATATTAAAATTATTTTTTATGTTTTTAATTTAGTTCAATCTTATAATTTCATCAATTACAGATTTTGGCGTGAATGCAACATGGAATCAATTTACAAATGTGTTTTTGATCCAGGAAGTGACATCGGCGACCAATCAGCATCAAAAATCAAATCATCTTATACAGAATTTAACGCTCTTCAAAATGATAATAGCCACTTTTTAATATTTTTCATGTGGAAACACCCTAATGTGCATATAGCCAAGCAAATGGGCAAGTGCTCTCACTCACGCGTTCACTAGTTGTACTCATCGAATACCGTAAATGCAACAAAAAACACTTGTGTCTATTACGATGCAATATGTATTTATTAACTGACGAAAAATTGCACTAATTAAATCTGGTATATAAGCCGTTTGGGGAATTTTCAATTTTTTTTTTCATCATAAAACTGACATTGTACACTGTAAATGGGAAAATTTTCAAAATATTATTAATACAAGAACTTTACATATAACAATTTTATACGAAAATTCAGTCAAATTATGTTCACAGTACACCAAACGAATGGAAATATTGGATAAGGAGATTTTTCATATGCAAGAAATGCAAGTCAACCGATTTTCCACCCGAATATCCAGCATATCCGATTACGATTTTATCGAATTTATCGCCGAACTTCAAATTTTCCGCAGATACAAAGTTCACTTGCGAGTGCGTGATATTATATGGAACCAAAATGTTTTCAATGCTGGCCGTTACAAAGTTATAGTTAATTTGACATATGGTCTTTCAGATTTGGAGGTTGAAGCGATTTCATGAACTGGTAACTGCACCAAACAGGTATACGCACAAATGTCATTCTCTACTTCGTTCGCACACTGTTTAGATAAACAAAAGATTCGCGAAAATTCGGATATCAATTACTTTTCAGCATTTTGCATCATTAATTGCACCTTCTGTTAAACTTTTGATTCAGTAATTGCGTTTAATTATATTCATTCACGAATTCAGTAAATTATAGTTTTGTCCGCACCGATACGGCTGCATAGTCAACGATCGATAAACACATCCCAATGAGCGCATATATAAAATCAATTTGTTCAAATTAAATGAAATGTGAGCTGAGTGCGACATAGCACTTTTACGGAATTTAACAAATTGAGAGTGAAAAAAACTTGAGATAATGAATTTTGTTTTGCATAAATTAATAAATATATGGTAAAGGGACAAAATATTCAAGGAGGAAAAAAATCAACATATTTTCAACCAATCAAAATCGAGGAAACAATAAATTCTATATAATTAATGATGTAATCAAATCACCTCAATAATTGATAAGTGCTTCCATTTCGATCGATTGAAATGTGAATCGAGAATTTCAATTAAGTACTTGTTTCTCTTTATCACATCTGGTTATAATTGCCTACTACTATGAATTGAATGTTTTTTTTTCTCTTCCACTACGTTTGTTGCTCATTTTTGTGTGTGCATTTATTAAATAATCTATCATTGATAGCTCTATTTACTTAATTCTCTCACCTTAATTCATTGATTGCTCCAATATGAATGTGTCACTTCATAAAGCGAAAGTAAAGCGGTGTATGGTTGATTTCTTCTCTTTCTTTCTTTACCCAACATCAATTTCGTTCGTTTTGTTTGTTCTGCCAGTATCTATCTTGTGTTGCTACTTTTACGTTCTGAATTGTTGTATAAATATATCTCTCTCTCTATCACGATTCGTTCTGTTGATACAATACAATGTGTATAAATTAGTATTTGATGACGGCCACAACAACAGCAACGATTTATAGTATAAATTGTTTTACTCGCACTTGTATATACAATTCCGATTTTTTTCTTCTACTTTCGTTTTAAACATGTAACATGCAAACAGAAAAATTACCACAGTAACGTAACGAGAAAAAAACAACAACAATCATTGACAACATCAACAACAACAATAACAGAACGTAAAATTTGATTGCTCGCTGCGTCCGAAACTTACTTAGAATGGACAAAGTCGCCGTTATTACACTTGGTTATGTTTATTGTTCCGTTTCTGGTGTCAACTGTATATAATTTCGATAGATTTGTGCAATTGTCCGTGTCAAATATCCAATTCACTTGTTTTTTTTGGTTCTCAAATGTTCGTAATCTTTCAATTGATATTTCAACCCGTCTGTTTACATTCACGCCTTTGTGTTATTTTTATTTTTAATCTTATTCAATTGATGCGATTTGTTCTTTTATCATCGATCACTTATCTTGTCATTTGGCTGTCAGTCTAACAATCTTTAACTTAGCGCCAAACGAAAAAAAAACGCTCTTTTCTTCTCTTTTCAATTCTGTTTCTTTTTGTATGTGCTGCAATGATTCGATGCAGTCTTTAACATATAGATGAAACCGACATCCACATTCCTCGATCCATTGATTGATTTATTCACTGAATGATGACTTTTGTCATATTTTGATTCACATTAACACCGTCTCGATTTTCTATTGTCTAGTTCTATTCGATATATGGGTGAAATTCCGTGCGCAAATCGAATGATAAATCAAAATCGAAATGGGAATGAAACGAAATTGAGCACACAAAATAACACACGATTTTAATTCGTATTCTTCTTCTAACTCTCTATCAAATTAACAAATTACTTTACTCGTCTCACTTATCTCAATTGAATCAGGCGCGACAAGCGTTAAAAAAACACTCACTCACACACACACACACCAAATTATACAATTCAATCACACAAAAAGTAGTTGAAGAAGAAAATACAAATAAAACTGTTTAAAAAAAATCGAAACACGTGAGAGACAGAAAGAGAGAGCAAAAAATAAATACGCGAAATTCAAGTGAATAAAGTTTTAATCCACGATATAACAACCGAATGTGATTTAATTTGCACACCTTTATCGTTGAAAGTATCCATGTATCAATTGCATTTCTTTCGTCAAACAAGCGAATAACTTTATTTGGCTTCTGTCGTCGTCGATGAAGCAATGAACTATTGTCATTATTTATACGTCCATACAATGTATATATTTACTCTTTTGTAAACATAATAAAAAAAAAGAAGAAAAATTGCTGTTTCGTTGTTCACTTTGTCGAAGCGGAATTACTTTTGATTCAACAACATGTGAACCCATCCAAAATAATAACATATGACACTGTCTCATCAAAGTTCTTTTCTTTTAAATTAATTTTGATTCAATTGATTTTTGTCTTTCTCGTACGTCTCGCGTAATTCAGCGCGATTTATATATATTTTTTTCATTGAACTTTTGAATGTATAGTAATAAGTTACAAATAAAATAATAATAATATTATCATTATTTTTTCGCGGATTTTACAATGTCGCGGCTTGATGACACTGAACACTTTTATGTTGACCGTATGACAAATAGAAAATAAATTGATACTCTTTTATGATTTGACTTCAGTGTTTTGCATAAACTTTTGATTGTCAATCGAATTACAAATATATACATATATCTTCAGTTTTTTTTTTATTATTCGTCTCCGCGCGCTCGCTGTCTATGCACAGTTTATGAACAAATACATGCACATAGGTAAGCATACATACAGTCAATTTACAAATAGTAGACGACAGTAAAACACCATAGTGGAATTGAAAATATATGTATAGAGTAAACCGAATTTGTGTACTTTTTTATTCTTGTATTTCCTTGCATTCAACAACACAATATACACAGATTACTGAGAGTGAGAAAATCCCGTCGACAACAGCGACGACAACGACGACGACAAAGACGACGATAATCTCTAGCAAAAGCGCAGTGTGTAGTCAAAATGGCCACCACACAGTTTGATGATAATAAAATGTGCAATTCATATGTTTAAACACGAAAGTGTTTATTCAAGCGCTTTGGAAACCTCTTCTTCTTTTTCCAGCGTTTTTTTCTCCTCATTCGCTGATACCAAATATATTTAATGGAAACGCTTGAATCCATTCATCGGACAGAGACGGAACGAGTGCCAGACCATTTGAGTGTGTATTCATTCAGAGAGTCGACGTAAAAGTGAGATATTGCGAGTAGACAGAAATGGAGTAAATCAAATGTCAGGCCAATGTATTGCCCGATGTATTCGGCATTGCTTTACGCTCAAGTATACATTTCTACTTGGTGTTGAGGAATTTGTCGGTTTTTTTTTTTAAAGAATGGAATACTGATGCAATTCAAAGCTTTAGAAATCAATTGATTTGTTTCTTTGGCAAAAAATCTCTTGGAATTAAATGACACTTCATTAAAAATTCAAACGATTTGATAACAAATTGGGGATATTTTTTTTCTTCACCAATGACAGTTACATCATTCAAAAATTTTCGAACATGGGACATTTTCAACATATATAGAAGCATTTGCGCGAAATGGCCTTTTCCGTGGTATGTGTATGACAGATTGACATACCGGCTTTAAATGAAAGTATTTTTGACAGAACCAATGGAATATTCAAATTAACATGCTCTCGTTTTATCAATCCTTTTGAAATGATAAACGAATTGTTTATTTATTCATCATTTGGCATCGTGTTGAATTTATATGGAATTGTATTGTAATCATTGTAAAAAGTATTTTGAATTAAACTTTTTTCTTTTTGGACAGAAAACCGGTAACCGGTACAATATTAATTTAATTTTTTTTAAATTTTAATCTCATGACAAAACGATTGCAAAATTTTTGATTTTTATAAAGTAAGAATAAAAATTTGACAATAAAAAATGTGTTTTTTTTTTTAAATAATAAAATGTGGTATCACCTTGTTGGCATTCTCTAGAGCTTTTTACAAAATAAGCTCATGAAAAGCTGCGTGCCCATTTCGATGCGAAATAATGAATTTCTCATAATAACAATTCTAATTCCGATTCCAATTAGAATGCCAATTATATATCTAATTCGACTACACAATTTCTGGATTTTTAAAATACATACCTAATTTACTAACCTTTGCAGCTAGCATTGCCAAAACAATCATAAAGTTGTCTATGCTATATATTTTTCGTCATAAGAAATCACAACTCAAAATTGAAAATAATGCTTCATTGTTTCGATTTGATACTTACATTTATAATATAGAAAAATTTCTAAAAAAAATGCTCTCACATAACATTTGCTTCATAGAGTCCAAAAAATAAATGGATGAAAAAAAATTCACAAAAATATAAATGTGTTTAAGCGGCAAACGAAAGAATAATAGAATACTAAAAAAAAACAAGAAAAATGTAACGCTAGAAAAATTTGTTCAAATGTCATTTCACTGCTTGCTTTTTGTGTGTCATGTATGAAATAATCGAATTTCATGAAGTGCTTCAAATAAAATAAATGGTTTGTACGTTTCAAAGAATTGATATAAATAATTTGGGTCTTTGTTATCATTCAGTATCCACAACACAGATGTCGATGAGTTTGTTGAGACGGTGATTAAGATGAACGATATATGTGTGTGTGAGAATGATGAGGGGGAGTGTTAAAATCTGCAAATAAAGAGTCGAATCATATTAATAGATGACATTTGTCTGGTGTTCAGTTTTCATTTCAGTTGGAGCGATACAAACGGATTTTGTTGATTTGAATCTTCGCTATGCGATCTAAGAAGTTCCCAATCGGTTGAGGATGGTAGCTGTTGATTCAGCCAATTCATACTGTTCATACTGTTCTTGTATATCAACAATGGGTCGGATCTGTTTAAAATCAAAGACCACACATTATTTATCACATCACCAAATGTAATTTAAATTTGCCTCATTTGTAAGAGGAAAAGTTAAAGAGTAAAAACAAAATTACAGAAAAAAAAATCCGCAACCACAAAATTCAAAAATTTACGAAATAAAACAAAGAAATTCGAAATAACTAAATACAGATTTAAATTCATTTGAATTAAGGAATTTGTTAACCTGTCGATTGAGCTTTGTGTTGCGCTGGACGAAAAGTCGGGAAAATTGAGATACGCATGAGCATCAAAACTGTTGGCCAGCAATGCTGCATTCAAATTGGCTGATGCCGTACTTATATTTGTAGTATATCCGTTACCTGTGAAGTCTGAATTTCGTCCGGATAGCACTGACGGTGATGCCGGCGGCGATGGCGAATCCAGCGATATTATTGCATCTAAACGGTATTTGTGTGTTTTGCGCGCATATGGGAATTCCGACCGATTTTTGTTTTTTTTTTTTTTTTTTTTTGTTTGTTTCAAATGTTGGAAACGAAAACAAAGAGTATTTCATTGTTAATGCAAAAGTTATACTTACAGAAAATAAAAATAAATAAATTGAGAAAGAGAAAGAGCACAAGTAGAATGTGAATAAGCAAAATAACACACGAATGTCTCCGGATTTCGAAATTCAACTAGAAGTGATTATAATCGGAGACAAAATGCATCGGTTTGAAGCGGTCAAAAAATTGTACAAATGAATTATATACTTCTATGACTTGCATCGAATTAATTTCTTGAATCGATTCGTCTTAAAAACATAAATAAATAAAGAAAAGGCATGGCACTGAAGCTGCCGTATATGGCCTAACAATTACATTGTGAATTTGCTAATTTACTTATTTGTTTTCTACAAAAACAATGTGAAATCGATAAATCGTAACGAATTTACAATTTTCGAATGCGCTTCAATTCGATTTGAAAGAAATAAAATTAAAAATAAGAGAAAGCATTATATGTCAACAACAAAAATAAATTATGCGCCCATACAAAAATGTGTAGATAATGTGTGGAAGGAAACCATTTCAACGAAAGCCACAAATTCATTACAAAAAATACATTTTTGGTGGTTTTGTTTTTCGAAAACTTTTAAAAGGAAAAATGTAGAGGTATAGAAAAATTACATACTTAAATGGGAAAAATGAGAATTTTTTTTGGCGATAATCGACGTCAATTTTGAATTCAGTTTATTGGCGATGGATGAACGTTGAACGACGTACGACGAACGACAGCACTGTGTATGTTGGCTTGTGTGAAAAAGCAAATAAATGACGAAACACTACAGTTACAAGAGAATATATAAGGTTCAAATCAAAAGTCCTTTGATATTTTATAAATAAGATTACGATTTTATTTTCTTAAATATATTTTTTTCTGTTTCTTGTTTTTTTTTTGTTGTTGTCGTTTTCAAATTTTTCACTTTGTTTTGTGTTAATTTTTTCACTTCCATTTTTTTGTGTTTTGTTTGTTTCACTTTCCTCTGCTTTCGTGTAAATATAACTTTAATTTGTTTGTTTTTTTCTCATTTAATTATTTTATTCGTAAATCATCTTGATTTCAGTTCCGATATTCTTATGATTTCTGTGTGTTTATTTGTTGTTGATTTTTTTTTGTTTAACAAGAGAAAAGAAACGCTTTTCATTTGTTGCTTTGTAGAAATGATTTCTTACAATTTTCATGTATTTTTGCTTTTTTTTTTGTTTGTTTGTTTTACTTTTTCTTTAAAAGGATCGTGTCTTAAATTTTCTGTTGCATACACAGCTTTTCTCTTTAGTTCTAATTTTTATCAGTTCCTTCGATTCGTTTGAAATGCCAACTTTGAGTAGAAATTATACACAGTATTAAATAGCTAACAAATTTGCCTGTGTGATTTCAATTTTTTTTAAAAACAACAAAAAAATCCGACGAAGGATTTAAGTAATTTAACATGAATGTTGATGCTTCATTGCAATTTCAATTGATGCATCACAAATTCTCACATTTCAATTTACAAAATGGAATTTTTTACTGACTTTTTCCATTTCAATTTACAAAATACAGCGTGTGTTTTTTTCATACGTAACAATTCGGTTCAGCTCTACCGGACCACGATGTGTCCGTGAGTTAATTCTTAATAAGACGAAAAAAAAGAAAACAAATATATATAAATATCGCGAGAGAGACAAAAACAGACCGAAAAAAAAGAAATTAATTTAAAATGAGTTGTAGTTTGTGTGTGTGTTTGTTTTGAATGCAAAAAACTGCGTGGAGACTCTTATTTTTACGAGCTGTTCCTCTTCTATAATATTATTTCGGCCATATCGACATCGTCTTCTGTTGAAAAATGCAGGCATATGTGGTGAGTGTGCGCATCCATTTTTCATCGGCGTTTCACATCGATTTTAGTTTTAAGTAATAATGATTGAATTTTGTTTTTTTTTTTTATTCATTGAATTCGTATGTTCCGTTTTTATTGAATTTTTTTTTGATTTGGTTTTGTTTCAAATGTAAATTGTATGGTTGATAATGGAGATGATTTGTTAAATTTTTTGTTTGTTTGTTTAAATTTATTAAATCGGTTTGCAAATTGATTTTTTTTTGTTTTGTTTCGATTATGACAATGTAAATTGTTTTTCATTTATTATTCACAGTATTCGTATGCATGTCAAAGAAAAGTAGAAAAATTCAAATTATAAAAGTATTTCTTGTGTTCATTAGATAAATGCGTTAAGAAAAATAAAGAAGAGAATTCATTTTTTTTTTGTTTTTTTTTTGAGTAAAAAAATGTAATTTCTTTTACTGAATTTGTTTGTTGATTAAATTTCTGACGGTATTTCTCTGTGTAAACATGTGTATGTGTGTGTTTGTGTTTTTGTCTTGTTTCAACCAATGCTTGTGTTCATTTGCTTCGGCGCGCGCGTGTTTGTGTTTTTAATTACTGAGAGTAATTAACAATAAAATGCTTTTTCTATTGAAATTATTGTCGGGACCTACCATTTGTAATGACAGGTGTTGCTGATGTTCCTTTGTTTGAAGCACTTGAATTATTGTTCGTACTGTTGTTGATTCCCTGACGAACTTGAACACATTCATCGTCTGAATCGCTCAGTGTTAAGTCCACCTAAACGAAAAAAACAAAAACAAAAATTGCAATGAAAAAGAAAATAATTGGTTTCATTTTACATTTGATAGTTTTTTTTCTTCTTTTATTACCGAATCGCCAGTCGTCGTCGATGATGGTTCATTTGGTTTGCTTGTCGCCGATGTTGTCGTATTTGTCGTGGAACCATTCATTGCTTGTGTCTTAATACTTGATTTCGGTGAATCATCGGCTATTATTACTTCTGTTAAAATACATTAAAACATGTTCAATGAATTTTTTGCGCATTTTTTCACTCAAACCTTTTCATACCTATGTCATCTGAGATTACTTCCACTTTGTGTGTAGATTTTCGAGGTGTGTCTAAATAGTTAGAATCTGAATTGCTATCATGTGTTGTCCACGAGCCATCCTTTAGTAACTGAATTTCATTTGTGTCTGGTGGAAGTGCGTCTGACTGTAATACCTCTTGGAAATAACTAAGATAAACAAACGCACAGGTTATTTTACTTTTGCAAACGCTACATTTTTCCCAACTTGTTGTGTACGTACCCATCAATTACTAGTGTTTCATACAGCGCCGCTTTATCGCAAACAGGACAATTCCACGTTGGTTTGCGTTCATTCATTTGTAAAAACAATGATGCATCAAAGCATTGTAAATGCAGACACGTCGATGCTCTGTGAACATTTGTGGAGAAAAAAAAGAATTTACAATAATAGAGAGAATTGGTTTGGGGTCAGTGCGTCATTTATTCCACAGAAATATAGAATTATTTTTGTTAATCAAAATACACTTTGCTAAAAAAAACGAATTTTTATGGAACAAATTTGATTTAAAAGGTAAAAAATCGATAATAACACAACAAGTGCTTTTTTAAAATTCGAATTTACTTTGTGTGAATTAATTTTTTTATTCGATTGAAATCGTCTGCAATTGAATTCAATCAACATGTAAATAAAACAAAATTCCATCGTCTATTTACACAAATACTCGAAATGACTTGACACATTCGAAAATGTGACATTTGACGAATGAGTATTAAGTGCTACCCGTTTGATATTGAGAGACGTGGACATTTTCAAAATCGATATTTTTACTCGATGAAAAGACAAAATGTAACAAAACTTTACCGGCACGGCGTGGTCATTCGCATTTTTCCAAGCGGGCACATTAGTGATACACGCAGCTCTGTTGTCGCAATGTCACTGTCAGCATCTTCTTTCAGTTTATCTTTGACTGAAATTCGAAAATCACAATGAAAAATCCATTTGCATCTTTGGTTTTTAATCGCAATCAATGTATAGAATACATACTCAGAGACCGTGTAAATTCTACAGGTTTACTTCCTTTTGCCTTCATTCGTGTGAGCAATTGACTTGATGTCAATTTCTTTACCAAATATGCTGATATGACGAAACCTTTATTAAAGTCTGTACACCACGACACATTTATATTGTTGGCAACCGTCGGTGAAAGTTTAACATTTGTGGTAATGTTAACCGGTCGTGGTGGCCGTTTCGGTTCGACGCCAGGCTTATTTGTCGGAATGGGATTCTAATTGGGCATTTCAAAATAAACACAATCAATGTAGAATTTTGAATTTTCAATTTGATATACTTACTGGCAATGGGCATAACTTATTATTAACTTTTACAATAACATTAGGCGGAAAATAATCTTCTTGTTCGGCAGATGTTTCTAATAAACAAAATCTTAATTGAACTTGTATGATGTGCTCAATTTTCTGGCTATTCCGAATATCTCTGTGAAAATAAAATTGGATCAGTTTTTGTGAATATTTCTCAGAAAAAAAAAAAAAAAAAAAATGTTGAAACGTTACCTATTGCTGGCGATGTCTGTTGCTTGTTGCGGCGTTAAATGAAAATAGTATGTGCCCTCTTGCATTCGTTGCGAATTTGATGTAGGTAAAAGTGTTGATGGTTTTAATAATGTGGCCATCACATCGAAGAATGCCAATTTTTTCAAACGAACATCTGGATGCACGGGCAAATTTTGTGCAACGCCCGGTTGCGGTACAGTTCCATAGCCACTATTGACCATTCCATTTGTGTGAGGTATAGCGGCACCATTACCAGTTGCTGTTGGCATCACATTCAAATTCGGTTGATACATTATTCCGTTGTTCGCCAGTTCAGTGGTTGATGATCGTTCTGCTACTTGTGGTATGGCTAATGATGGCAACGCTGGCCTTTGATATGATTGTCTTAGCGGTTGGGCTGCTTGTTGCTGTAAAATAAAATCGGATTATTAAAAATTCGGAGCGTGAAACAGAGAATGCAAAGCTAGCGAGAAAGAGAAAAGATGTCAAAAAATAATACGCACGCTTTTATTATTAGCGAATTGCTCAAATTGGTGCAGAAACGATGTGATTTGTGGTTGAAATGAATTGTAAGGTGTGTTGCTAACTTGCGATTGTATTTGTCCCAATGACACGGCTGGTGTTGTTAGAGATGCCAGTGGATTTGATTGCGATCGACTCGACACAGATGCCGAATAAATTTGCGGTGAAGATGAACGACTCTCAGTTGTTTCGCTACATCGATAAAATACACAACACAATTATTTTCTCTTTCCTTACATGTGTTTCGAAAATCTTGAATTCATAAATTAAAATCGGCACATTTGATCGATTTCGTAATTTATGCGATTCGGTACAATATTATTTACTTTTGTTTATCCAAAATGGTTTGTAGTCTCGATTTAGTTGCCAAATAATTAGATCTCAATAGATCATAGCTTCGACTTCGAAGGCTGGACTGCGATGATTTGTCAGAAGAACGATAGTTTAACAATTTTCGTAGTTCGTTTGGGCTAAGTGTGTCAATTGCTTTCTATATCGACAAAATAATAATAATAATAATAAGAAACAAATGTAAAACAAACAATTGTTCATTACACATATTTCGAATAGCCTTTTTTGTCTTTACTAACTCAACACTAGTCAAACTAAACACTAACACTTGATGTGTAATCAACTGAAAAATATTTAGGGAATGTATGTAGAATGTTTGTATCTTTTTTCCCAAATTCTATCATTTATTACATTACAGTGATCAGTTGCCTTGCTTACGATGTTGTCATACTTTTCGCGCGTGTGTATATAATGTGCAGAGCAAAAAAAAAAAAATGCGAAAACGAACAATTTAGGCGCCCATTGCGTTCGCAACATATATTGTACACTAGTATACACACAAAACCGACAATGGGATGTGATATTTGTTGCACGGTTCAATTTGAAGTGAAACTCAGATAGTATTGTTGTCAAAAAACGAGTAGCGGTAAGCGTAAAACGAACAGTCAAAAAGTGTTTTCTTTTTATTTTGTTTTTCGAGAAATACTCATTTCACTTTGAGCACAAATCTAAAATGAAAGTAACAATAGTTACTAATCGAATGGATGCCGTTTATTTGTTATATATCGTGCTATAATTTAAATGTTTCGCTTCACTTTTCCATCGCACACAAACTGTTTTAGCAGCAGTAGCAGCAGCCACAACAATAATAATAATAACAACAACAAAATAACATTCGTAACAAGTGTATGTACGTTTGGCTTCATCGAAACACACACAAAAATTGTAGATAAATTTTGACTCAATTTTTTGTCTTCCGACCGCAATAGTTTCTTAAACTTACATTGTTCCTTGGATGTTTCGGTTAACGTAAATAAATTTCCGAGAAATGCGACAGACACAACACAGAATGCAATTCAAAATTCGATGGTTAATTTTTTTTTTGGCTCTATAATTCGTCCAAATCAGCGGGATCAACGCTGAACATCGTGCACATTGTATAAAGTTAGTTCTGTTCACTAAAAAAAAATCTTCTTTTTTGTGTCCCGATGTGTGTGCAAGTTTCCCTCTAGTAGAGTTCAAAACTCAAATTACAGGCAAAACGAAGACATGAATAAAACGAAACATATGAAGTACACACAGAGTGCCCACATTAAAGTATGGTTGTAAATCGGTTTATTTCTATAATACGTGTGTGTTTGTGAATTTTTGATGTTGTATGCTAACTTGTACCATACGATGAAGAGACCATAATATAACTGTGTATACGAAGTTTATCGTTCCTAAATTTGTATCGGTGTTGTACATGTACACACGACGACGAACGATGGAGAGTTCACACTAAGACACTGTCATACAACCGCAAAAGATCTTTTTCGAAATCGAAAATCACATCGACGGCTCCACACACAACATAGAACCAATATGGCGAAATGCGAACCGATATCGAAGCGAAAGCGCACCGAACGCAAACATATCGACAGTTTGCCACTTATACAAATGCAAAACATAAGCACACAAACATATTATGAGAGAACAGCATCTAGAAGACAAGAATCAGTGAGTGAGACAGAGAGATGGAGAATCATAAGTGCATCAGAGCAGCTGCAATATGTGTGAAGTACATAACTAACGGAGTAATTGTTTCGGTTAAAAACATAATATCATACCGTTGCCTCGGTGGTTGTGTTTTTCTCTTTCTATTGTTTGCCATGGAAAAATAAAATGGTAATACGAAGTGAAACCGAAACAGAAACATACAAGCATAGACACTTGGACATTTTCACCCAGTTTTTTATCGAATAATAAGCGAACATTTGCAATGAATGCTTTTCACAATCGTATTCCATCTCTTAGACACGTATTGGACACATTTATCCGCATATGGCATTTTATGATTAGAATTTATTCAACTTCATCCTGACGATGAACGCTTCGGAATCTGGTTTGACACAACGACAACAACAAAAATTCGAAGGGGCATTGCTTACGGAGAACATTGAAACGATGAACCAAATACCATTAATTGGATTGAACCCTCTTCGTTTTTATTTTAAGCTGTAACCACCTATCGATCGAACTCATTCACATTATGGACAAATGACAAAATTAAAACAAGGATCAAACATAAATGTATGGTCAACTTGTGGCAATCATTGTTATGAATGAACTCATTTGTGTGCTCCAAAAATGTCAAACAATGCCACGATTATATATAGACATTTTTTATTCTCCCACAAATTCCACATTTTCCGTTTGAATTTCGAAAAAAAAAAAACAATCCACTCTCAACGTGACTCACAATTCTGTTAGCTCAATCAAAATAACTTAAATCAATTTACGGGACAAATATCAAATAGATCGCGCGAACATATCAAAATTATTGACAATGCATACAATAATCAACACTTCAAATAATAAATGAATTTATGTGGATAGAAAATATGTTAGTTCGATGACATGGTTCATTAAATGATTGGATTGGATTGGAATTGCTAATTGTTCTGATACATACCTCTAACTGCTGTACATCCTCGGGGAGATTTTGTGCTTTTGTACGCGAACGAGTTTGTCGCATTTTCCGAAATTTTCTATAGCATTTATGATTCGGTTAATTTCTACCATCAACGATCGCCACACTGAAAAAGTTTGGTTGCTTCTCTTTTTTTTAATTGTATACGAGTTTAGTGTCGTCGTTTGGCCGGTTGTTGCGAATCTTTTTTCGTCAAATAATTCAAAATTCATGTGTTGATTTTCATTTATTTTTAATATTCCACACTTCCTAAGTCAGGAACAATTAATGTTTTACACTATTTCTTAAATCGTAGCGACAAAACGAAAACATAACTTTTATTCTTCGAAAAATATTGAATCCATTCAAATGTACATGAAATTTATTAACACAAAATTCTTTTTCGATTTTTAACCAAAATAAAAAGTCACCCACACACACACATTCACACCGTTGAGAGCGATAAAAAAAATAGACGTTTCAATTATTCTAAAATTATTTGAAATGTTTGCGTAGGTTTCTTATTACAGATTCTTTTTAGCATTTTGTTTTTGTGCACTCGCTTCACTCTTTTGTTTTATTTCCTTTTTTTATATGTACTTCTTGTATTTCTTTTTTACTTTTTACCGATACTCGGGTTTTCATGTGTGCGAATGCTGCTGTAAATTTTGTGCCGACGTTTATGGTGCGCGTTATATGAAATGTGACACAAAGCGAAATCGTTTGTTCGATGATTTTCGAAATTCGAATTTTTCAAGTCGGTTTCCATCTAGCTATCTCGCTTGCAATGCCCGTATATTGTCATGGTATGTCACATTGGTATTTCTGTGTGTGTCTCTTTTTTTCGCCTTTTCCCATTCCCTCATTCGCCAATTCAAATATTTACTCACACACAGAGACACATATTTGAGCGAGAAAAAAACGTTGAGCGACAATGAAACTGACAATTCGAAGTCGGTATTCCGACTATTCAAATACAATTTGAATATGATTATGTTTTATGTTTTATGTTTTCACTCCAATTAGTATATATTTTATAAATTTTGCAGTTACTTTAGAGCACTTCTCTGTCGCAATATGTGGTGTGTGCCTATGGTTTGCATTTGTAAATGTGTGGAATTCGCCATATTTGTTGTATATTGTGTGATGGATCGACGATGTTTGTGTGTGATGATGGGAAAATGAAACATTTAAATCATAGTACACTTTGATAAATAAACTGCATCCATTCTTTCATTTTAATGCATGTAATATATGTTGATTTTCTTTTCTTTTGTCGATCACAGTCCAACTTTCGAAGTCGACACTATGATTTTTCAATTCTATAGTTAACCATTTAAATTCTAAATCGAAACTTGAAACCGTTATTTTCCAAGAAATAAGATAAATAAAGAAATAGACTGATTTCCAAAATCAAATTGACACATAAATCATTTGTGGAAAAAAAAAACGTTTTGTTTGTATTTAAAAAATCATTTTAATTCCAAATAACGAATTGCGCAATACATTTGTCTTTTGTATGTTTTAAAACAAATCCATCTCATCACAGTTCATGCTCAGTATATCATCATCATAGGTTACAGCCGCATTCGTTGATCTTTGAAAATCTACATCATGCACAAATGAAATGTTATTTCGTTATTTTAATGAAATGAATTATGTTTTACCTTTTTCTGGACTTGTTACATTCACCATGTGCTGAATTGGATGTGAATCAAAATCGCTATTTTCGCGATTGAAGTCAGTGACTGGAGATGGGGGTGGATTTGAAAGGTTAACATGTGTATCCAAGCCTAGATGTGACGTTGATGATGCCAAGTGATCGCTACGCGATCCCAACACTGGCAATTCGTTTTCATTTTTCAATGATTTTTTCAATTCTTCAACCTCCAGATCACGCTTGAGCGCCTGTGATATCTTACGACTTTTGATGGTTTTTCGCTCTTCTTCCAAGAATATATCCTTTTTCTGCTTTTTGCTGATCTCATCACAATTTTTTAACAGAAACAAAAATACCCCGCCCGGCGTTCGACGTCGCATCCCGTTCACGATAAGCATACCTAAAGCGACCAGGAAAGGAAAACGCAATTATATGAGAATTTCAAATTAAAAATCAATCAAAAAAATATATAAAGGATCATTACCACCGTCACTTTCTATTTTCTGCGTTTCTTTAAACAATTTGATTGACAAGTCACGACCAAGTGTATTTACAACTCGAACTGCAAATAAAACGGAAAGACGATTACAGAATTAGTGTAATTTGTTAGTCAATTTACATTGAATCAAAATATTTTTTTTTTCATTCTTCAAAAAACAATTAAAATGGCTTTTGCTTACCCATTAAATCATCCTTTTCTTCGTACAATTTATTGGCAATATCTTTAGCAATTTCGTCGTTTGTGGCCGACGAATCGGTTGATAAATCGACAATATTACGTGCCGAATTCATTGCTCCGCTGCCTTCATTGCTGCTATCATCGCTGTTTCGATTACCGAGCCGTAAACGTACATTTTTTCGATCTTTCACGCTAAGGCTATTTGCACGAAAACGTTTATTTTTCGATTCAATAGCATTCGATGTGGAGCAACTGAAACCTTCCGAATCATCACTGTACGATTGACGACGTTTCAAACTATTTTCACCATTCAAACGATATTTCAAGGAGTAATCATATGATTCACAACTTCGATCATATCGTCCGCTATCCTGATCCACACCGCATTCCTTTAGATTTTCCATCACCTCTTCTTGTAGGCTACTCGACCAAATATTATATTTACTATGTTGATAACGTGGCGGTTGTGCGCCAGGAATTTGAATGCCCTGTAGTGGTTTAATTCTGTATAAATAAATTCAGATCAATTATTAAATTGAGAATGTTAGAAATGAGAACAAAAAGAAAAAGACACTGTAAAGACACACATACTTTGGAACTTTTTTCTTATTTGTTCGATTTCGTGCGGTAGAAAAGTCACAGTCGCTGCCTGAGTCGCTGTCTGATTCTGCCAAAGATTCTTCCAATTCGGATGCATCTTCCATTTTGGTGATTCCACTGGTGCTCAAGGATGATGGTAGTGATGACGCAGTTTCACGGACCGATGTTGATGTGTTTGGCCTTTGTAATGGAGTATAACTGTCATTGCTATCCGAGAGCTGTATCAGAAAATTAACAAAAAAAGACAGAAACAAAGTTGATTGTAAGAAAATTGTGGTCACACATAAATTTGTCTTTGCCCAATTGGGTATATTTGTCGCTGATTAATTTTTTTGCGACACGTCCATTCACCTCTCCATCTTCGAATTCTTCGTTCAGATACTTTATGGGTTCATGCTCCATTATGTACACCGTTCAATCTCATTCAGCTGGCCAATTAATCGTTTACGGAACACTTTGTCTAACGTATGATTATTGACAAAGAATGGCTAAAAATGGTCTCTTTTCATCGAGTTTTTATTCGTTCGTACAAATGTCGTACAAAGTATTTTAATCGCCTGTCTTTCAGTTTGATCAAAGCAAAAAACTATATGAAAAAAAAAACTTTTAACACACACAGAATGGCAAATGGATTATATACACTATATATGTCAAAAGACGAAGCGCGATGTCAAAATGAGAAAGTTGCCATAAATTCAATGACTGTGTATCGTTTGTCTCCTTCCCGCATGCATATGTAGTAGCCATGCACGTATAGTTGTCGCAATTATGGTTACTTGACTCAAACGGACTGTCATACATTTGACGTTTTTCGCTCTAATGACAGACCAAACACAAACATAAAACAAAAAAGTCCAAATGAGAGCTATATAGAGATATACATATAGTCAAACTAAGAGCAAAAGTGAGCAAAGCATAGAAAATCGTCAAATTGAAAAAAGCCACTTAAAAATTGTGTGTAGATCTATTTTTTACGTTGTGAGGGCCAAGCAATGGATCGAAATAAAGCAAATATTTCGCGTCCTAGCAAATCAAAAATTGGCGCACCTCATCATGGAAGTGAAATATTTGCATTGGGCTCGAAAACAACAGCATCAACTAGTAATCGTGAAGACAATAAAAGTAAGGTTATGTCATCAACGGATCGAAAACGGGAAGCATCATCAACATTGACCGCAAATGTTTCGAAAAAACCAAAATTAGCGATTAGTAGTGTAACCAGTTCAATACATTCCACCAGTTTTGCAGCATCAGCAAGTCGTACGAATCATGATGTGCCAAACAGTAGTTCAACGCAAAATCTCGAATACTGGGAACAAGTGGCACAAGAATGTGACGGTTCCGAGCTTGTGCAGTCAGTGTTAACAGCAATTGATCGTCAGGATAGCGACCAAGTGGTGGCATTATTGTGCGGTGCCATTAAATCGATAACAATGCGACAGAAAATGGATAATTCACAAACATTATCATTACTTTATTTGGCCAAACTTCGGCCGAGCATGTTTTGTAATGAAATTGTGACACAGGCTTTATTATCAATTCTACGACGTGATTCAACGCCAACATTTAAATCGCGTTGCAATCCATCAACACATATTTTAGCCGCAAATTTATTGACACGGGGCTATCACAACAAAACTCAATGGCCAGAGACGTTTGTCCGGCACTACATTGAAGATGCGGTTAATGAACGAGTTTGGGTGGATTTTGATGAGTGTTCTGCATTTGTGGAAAATATTTGTACGGCATTTGGTACAAAAACACCACCAAAATCAATGCTACAACCCGATTTAAATCCATTGGGTACGATTTCAACAATTTCATCACGTGAGGCAACCGACGAAGATTCATGCGAAGGAAGTTTAGCTGGTACCAGTACGGAATCAACGAAAACGGGCGAAAATCAAATAATTTGTGCCGTACAACCACGTTACACTCACATGACTGATGTCATTGAAAAATTAGTCATCGATATTGTGAAAGAACAATTTAATAGACGTCAAGCGCCCGATTGCTTAACACGGAATTTTCTGAAATTTTTGGCCTCGGTCAGCGGTATCAGTGATATTCGAGCAATGGCCGTACCAAGATTGGAACATTGGATTCACAATGGAAAATTAATGAAACCGGCACAGGAGCTTCTCACCTATATTTGTTTCAATGTAAGCAGTAATTCAGTGCGAGACAATGAAGTGTTGGCCAATTTAGTGAAAATGCGATTGAAAACAAAAGCACTTATCAATGTTTATATGAATTGTATCAGAGAAATGATAAACATTCAGCCGGACATTTTGTTTGTTGTATTGAAAAATGCCGTTCAAAATGAACTAACAAATGCCCGTAATCCAAACAACATGGGAATGGGAATGTTGGCAAGTATATTTCAAGCAAAACCCGATGAATCTGCACGTCATTTGGCCACAATTTATCAGGAATTTTTGTTGCAACGTGAAGATTGTTTGCGTACGTTGCGCGTATTTTTGCGTGAATTGGTGAAAACACTACGGTACGACATCAAATTAACCGTTTTTTGCGAAGCATTGCTAACGAGCAGTTCAAATTTAATACATCAACTTGAACATTTTGAATTTCGAGAGCGAGTCTTTTATGCAATGACCGATTTGGTGTGTTTGTGCATGTTTCTATCGGTGTCACCACAAATTCGCGAAGCAAATGTTCTGCTACGAGCTGGCCGTGAAACAAAAGGTAGTAAAATTTTAATTGAATACTACGATCAAATGTCACACATTCAACGTGTGGCAGTCAAATGGATGTATGACACAGTGCCAATATTATTTAAACCATCCGAAACGGAGTATACATCATTTTTGCATAAAATTTTACTTTTGGATTCACCTGAATCATATACCAAAGGCGATCAATGGCCGCCCGAACAAGAGCGTGCCTTATTATTACGTTTGGTATCAGAGGTGCCATTACATCAAGATACAATTGTTTATATGTCATTGATTGGTGCTCAACGTGAGATCCCGGTTAAAACTCCGGACGCAATGGAAATCATTGAACAAGTAATTCGGCGTTCGGCCGGTTTAAGAATTGTTGACTATCCATCTCTGCTTGCCGATAAAGTTGAAATCATTGATTTGCTGTTTACAATGGCCGAATATCATCATCCGGAAAATATAAAATTACCAAATGATTATGAACCACCGAAATTGGCGATCGCCTCACTATATTGGAAAACTTGGAACATTTTATTAATGCTGTCCGCACACAATCCAAGCACATTTGGTGCATTTTGCTGGGAACGCTATCCAATGCTACGCAATTTAATGGAAATGTCAATCACAAATCAATTTGCTAGCTATCGAGTTCCCGAAGAAGAGTTACAAGTCAGCATGCTGGAGAAAACGCAAATTATTGAATTTGAAACTCATTTGGCAGCCGCCACGTCGAAGGTCGTTATTACCGAACAAAACAGTTTATTGTTGTCACAATTGATCTTAATGAATCCAATGGGTGAGTAATAATCCAATTACTATTATATTACTGAACGATTGCTATCCATTCTTTTGAGGATTTTTTTAAAAAAATATTTCCATTTTTCTTTTCCGATTCAACTCCAGGTGTAGCACGGAAGCCGCCAGCGATGGTGCTCGAATTGCTACAAAATCAAAATACAACATTAAAATTGGGCCATTTACTGTGCCGCAGCCGGAAACCAGATTTATTATTGGATATAATTCATCGTCAAGGTACATCACAATCAATGCCATGGCTTGCTGATCTCGTGCAAAATAGCGAAGGTGATTTCAATCATTTGCCGGTACAATGTTTGTGTGAATTTTTACTATCGAACTCGTCATCAATGGACAATCATCGTGATCTCGAATTGCTGAAATATTTACAAAATTTATTGGCCGACGAAGAACAGGATTATCAAACATCGTGCGAAGTTCTTGAATATTTTCTTCGCCGACTGTCATCACCATCGAAACAAGGTCGCATCAATGCCATTAATGCATTACAATTGCTGCTGAAAGTATTTCATAATGAAGATGAGGACATTCAAATGCATCAAGACGAATCGAGCTGGTTACTACAATATCTTCCATTGATGCCACATTTTCCAGCTGTACGATTGATTGTTATTACACAACTTAGAGCCGCCTGTCAAATAGAAAACAACGCTGACTTGGTTATGATTTATATTCAATTCATTGCAGCAAATACTTTACATGATCCGGTTATGGGTAATATTTTTTTTTATTAAACTTGCGATTTTTTTTTTTTACAAAATTTAAATTAATTTCTTTACCGTCAATTACAGAAATGTTGGATCACGTAATGGATTTAAGTCAGTTGATTGTCGAACGAAATACGTTGTTTTCCTGCATTGTGCCGACTATAAAAGACGATGAAAATCGTTTGCAAACGTTAAACTGTTTATATGTGATGTTCAATAACTATTTGATAAAATTGAAGGATTTTAAAGAGACCCCTGCACTGGCCAAGTATCCAGAGCTCGTAATGGTAATTATCAATATCAAACTAAAGTTTATAAAAAACATCAATTGAAATAAAAAAAAACTCGCTTCCTTTCAGGTTCAATTTCAAGATGGTTCCCAGCAGCCAATTCATATGATAATCATTCATGCATTTGTTATTCTTCTCACCTACGCTACGATAATTCCAAATGCAGCTCCATACTTGGATTATTGGTTTCCACAGAATGCTCCACTTCCGCATGCCTTCACCGTTGAAACAAATGAGCCGGTGGTCATATTTCCCGATTGGTTAAAATTGAAAATGATTCGAAGTTCTGTGGAGCGTTTGGTTGATGCAGCCATGGAAGATTTGACGCCACAACAAATTGTTTTGTTCATTCAGAGTTTTGGTACGCCAGTGAATTCAATGTCAAAATTACTGGCATTACTTGATTTGGCTGTTATTGAGCAAACGACAGCTGTGAAAGAAACCATTGGCAATGGAACCTATTTTGCTCAAGTGATTGAAATTCAGCAGGCTCGTGGCGCAAAAAATGGTCATATTGCAATGCAAACATTGCAATTAAATGATAGTGTCTTATCCGATCAATCGAGTCGTGAAATCATTGTAACCGAACAATTAGAAATTGCATCGTGTAAACCACAACCACAGATGAATTCGTCACAATCGAAAGAAATCGAAGAAGTGGTTGATTTGGTGTTGCATGGTGAAACATTGCCCCATTCGCTTTTGCTTCGATTCCGACGATTGATTCAACAATTGCTCACAACTGACGGTCAACATCATTTGGCGAAACAACAACAGAACACCGTTGCAAAGGTGGTACAGTACCTTTTACGTAACATTAAGTCACAACATGGTCAAAACTTTTATCAACGCATTCTTCAAAGTTCGGCAGCCTGTTCATTCTTTCGAACGCTGTTCATTTCGGTGCAAGACAAATCATCAAACTACAACTATGTTGCTAGCATCATCAGTCATGCGATGGAGGTCATGATCCCAGACAATTGTCCCATCATTTTCCAAATGGTTTTCAATCAAGGTGAGTTAAAGATAGAAGAAATTCGTGTTTCGAAACATTGTTTATTGTTTTGTTTTTATTTACAGTGAAAAATTACATAAAAGTGGATAAAGACAAAAAAATTGCGGTAAAAAATCAAGATCTTTTACAAGTTTTACAGACGAGTACACTAACCGAACTGCAAGCAAAAGGCAATCATTTATTCAATGAATTGATAATAAACAATACGAATCCAGAGATTTTGGTCGATGTCATCACGTCAACGTTGAAAAATTCGCATATCATTAAAATTGAAGATGCATCTGAATTGAATAAAAATGGGCTGTTGATTGATTGGTTGGCTGACATTGATTCGGAGTTGATACTTTCAACGAAAATTAGTCTGGATGTGATGTTTAAACGTTCGTTGCCACAATTTCGATTCTATTTATTATCGCTGCTGAGTCATCAAGCCAGTTGGTCAACGCTACATTCAATCTTAGATAAATTGCTTTCAACATATAATCCCGATTACGATTCAACATCGGTGACACATTTTATAGCCGCATTTATTCGTAATCCAAAACTGTGGCAAGGTCGTGAGAAGAATACATCAAAACATTATCAAATTGAATATGTTTTATTATTGAACGATAAACAATTGAAAGTATTCACCGATTATATTTTAAGTGAGGAGAATATCGATGCAGAGAAATTGAGTGCACGCGTTTCAACATTATTGCAATGCGTTCCGCCCGAATTGCTTGACCTAAAAGAGTTGGTGTCATACGTGCGAAACGATTCAACTGCCACAAATGAACTGAAATGTCAATTTTTACAGCAACTTTATTTAAATATTCCACCAATGAAATTCACTGTACTCGACATGGACGACATTTATTTGACAAATGCAGTCAAACTGACGAATTGCGAAACCGATAAAGTCACAAATAACATAATGACAGCAATGTCATCGTTGACGACAGCAAGAGATTTTCAAGCAATGTCACAGCACATGGAATTGTTGTTACGGAAATTAGCTGCATCACATCCATCACTTGTTTTAAGACAAATTTCCATGATGGCATCACTTTTACAGGGTCGTGCCCATATGGATTTGCATGTATTACGATCAAATTATCATATTCCACTGTTTATCCAAGTGTTTGGCATTTTAGAGCTACTGCAACCGTTGATTTTTGAGCACAGCTATCGCGCATCATTGCATTCGGCACTTGAATGTTATTTCAGTTTATTCCTAAATCATGGCACAACAAAAGACACATTCGATTTAATGTATCGATTCATGGAATTTTTACAAATTTATACGCAAAAAGATTCGGCAAATGCATGGAAATTTATTGAACCGCATACCGATTTAATTGAAGATTTAGCAGCCGACAATCGCATGATAATACCACTTCAACAATTAGTTCAAGGGGTTTCTTTGATCAAGTATAAACAGAATAAACGCAATGAAAATGATAACTCATCGTCGTTGTCGTCATCGTCTTCGTCGTCACCATCATCCGTCATTCAATCAAATACAGGCGCATCCGCTATTATTCTAACGCCATACACAAAAACTCTTAATCAAACTTTGACCAAGTTACTGCTTGAAATTCAACATCGTTCAAATGACGAGGTTTTAAGTCCACTACAGGAATTAGAAATCATCACAACAAAACGTCAAGTGCCCTTAGAATCGATTCACGAACGACTTTTGACACTGATTTCATCGTCAACGGTTAGCATCCGGCAATCAGCCTATTTACTATTAATTCGTCATCTGAAATCAAATCCCGGCAATTTGTCGGTGAATGAAAACACACTTGCCGTTTACGTGCAATGTTTACGTCAAAAAGACACCGGCGTTGTTATATCAGCCTTACAATTTCTCACCGAAATGGTGATTTGCCTGCAGGAATATTCATCGGAAATATTACGCAATGCATTCGAAATGGGCATCAAATCGAAGATCAACACATTCGAACATATACGAAAATGCATACTTGCGCTCAAAACACAACATGCAAGCTAAGGACAAAACACCATCAAATATAAGCCACACACTTTACGACAAACAAAATATAACCAAACTATCTTCTCGAATAAACATCATTTTTTTTTCTTTATGTTTTATTATTATTGAATTATATTTAGTATAAATGTCAATCACTAGTTTTATTTTTAAAGCATATTAACTACAACATTTTGTAACAAATTGCGGAATGGACTATAGAATAATGAAACTTTTAAAACAATTTATCGAAATATAGATAACATTTGAATGAATCATTTTTAATTAGTTTTAATTAATGATATTTTTTGTAAAAAAGAAAACAGTAGAAGTACGCGGGGGGGGGGGGGGAGAGACCACACAAATCAAGTGAACTTATAAATAAATTTGATGAACATTTTCAGACAATTATTGGGTAATAAACAATCGATTTCGATATAATTCCATGAAAGATTCATCCAACACATGACTTGCTATGATCAAACTGTAGCCGAGCAAAAGCCATACTTTAGTCAACTAAAGTGACTGATCAGAATCGTAGATAAATAAACGTGCAAGTAGCAAAATGACAACAAAGTTAATACATAAGACACATGAATTATGAGCTCGTCACTTTATTTTTGTACTTTGTCAAGGTAAGTAAAAAAAACTGCGCTTTAAAAAAAATGACAGCGATGATGTCGTTAACCGACTGCTTGATTCATCGAACTTGTACTATTACATTTGAAACTTCATTCTGATGATATGAACCGAACTCGATTGTAAGATAAGCATACATAGAATAGTGAAAAAAAGTCATTAAATCTGGATTCGAATATAAGCGGAATCTGCAAAAACCTCCAAAGCTTATTTTTAACTTTGGCCAATCGAAAAATGGCAAAATTTTTACTCTATCGCAACGTTGTAATCTTTCAAAGTCATACGCATTTAATTTCAACATTTAGATTCACAAGCAATAAAATCGATTCATAGAAACCCCCAAAAAAAGTCGCATTTGTTTTAGAAATTCTAATAATGTTTCGTTGTCAACCAACCCGGACAAACTGAACTGGATATCGATGAAATCGTCTTCAAAATAAAGGCATACGTGTTTTTTGTTGTCGTCTTTATTATTATCTCTCTTTTATTTTTGACACACAAACAAAAACGATTTGGAGACTTTGTCACTTCCCTGCTGATTTCGGGTCATTTTTTAAATTCCACATTTTCGTTGTTTTCTTGTTTCTCAATAATAAAATCACTAGTTTATCCACATTTAATGCTGTTCGTATTTTATCTTCTACAATCAAAACGAAATATCAACTATTCGACAATGGATTTTCTTTTCGAAATGACATCGTATGATTCACACCAAAAATCACTGGCAGTTCACTTTCCTCTTTTTGCTTCATTTGAATATTGAATGGATCTTTTATAGGGTATTTAAAAAAACCCACCGTTTTGTTGGCATCGTTATTTTTAAATCGAATGTCATATTTTGAGTTCATATTTATCACGTATAAATCTCGATTGTATCATGATAAACAATAATAATTGGCGTTGAAAAGACGTAAACGTCTTTATCATCGCCGGTAATTGGCCAGGTTGTGTGAGTCATAATGTTTGTGTGCATTAGAAATATGATCAGCATGAAAATCGCACATTTTATCATTAACATATGCCAGATTCCTATCGGAGACGTGTGCGAGCGCATATTAAATAATCTTTTGCGGTGATTTCTAGTTGTTTTAGTATTTTTTTTGGGTAATTTTATTGTTTGTGTGATTTTTTTTTGTATGCTATGTGTGTCGTCTTAGAAGACGGTAAACAGGAAGTTTGGCTAGAGGGGAAAATGTGATACACGTGCAGTATCACTGATTCTTCTTTTTTTTTCAGCCAAACATTAAATTCTCGCAACATTGTGAGCTACACAATTTGATTACATAGCACAAACTCGACCGAGCACACGTTTAACATTGAAGAGTTCCTGCTCTCTCTTTCTCTATCTCTCTCTCTATCCCCATCTCTGAATAAGTATTCTCAAATCATTCAACATAACGCACAGATCCGCCTATGCCGAAAAAAGCATGAGAATGCTATTTGCCGAACTTCAAAAATGAGGTTATTAATGGATAAACCCAGAATAACTGGCATTAAAAAATTAGCAGATAGTTAATGTTATGCAAAAAAAATTAATCATTCATTACGCAGAACAATAGACTTTCTCATGTTGCGTATTAGTTTACGTTTTTTTTTTTGCTGATGCACCGGAACAAGTTCAACATTGTAGCAAATGCAACAGACGATGTTTGCGAGCGCATCTGTTAGATAAAGTGTTTGAATTCGCTTGGTGGAAAATGAAAATGTTTGCTAGTTGTGATTGCATGAAATGATGAGCATGCAAAATTGAAAGCAAAAGCTATTCGCTCGAATGACAAATTAACTGTAAATAAATCATTCACAGTGTTTTTGAGATTCGTCAAAAGATGATTCAATTGAATAAAGTATTGTGTTGAATTATCAACATTTCATAGAAATTAATTTCTTTTTGTTTTGGAATTATTGGGTATTTTCACTCATTGCGTTTCCGAAATTCGCATTGATTTACTCACAACAAAATTCAAACTGGCGATTTCTGCTGAATATCAAACAAAAAAAAAAACCTGAAATCCAATTAAAAACCGAAAACTTAATTTCCGCAATGTTTTTTATTCTCTCGTGAGAATGACTCAACTGATGAATTCAAAGCAGTGCTTGTTTTAACGTGCCAACAGGATTTCTTTTTATTTTGTTTGAATCATAAGCAAGAATATCAAAATAGGAAATAATTGGTTCCGTTATGCGCATGCAATTTACGCTGTGATTCTCAGTGGATATAGTTGACTATTTTGAAAAAATAAAAAAAATCCTATACATTTCAATTCTAATTAAATTAAATTAAATAAAACAATAGACCGGAATTCATCGAATTAATTACGAACTGAAATTATGATTTAGCGTTGAAAAAACATAGAATAGAGTTAACAATGACTTCCGAAGATCAAAATCATGGGCCATTATTCGTTAGTTGTTTAGAGGAGATTTTGTTTCCAAGTAAATGGAAGATTTCAATAGTCTTCGAGTGAATCGTCATTAAGATGTAAGCGTGATTGAAACATGATCACAAAAAATATATTTCTAAAAATAATTTTCTACAACCTATTCTTAAAATCGTTGATGTTTAGATATTCATTTTTCTTGCGAAAACACTTCTGCATTTGACGTCATTGCCTCCTTTGTCATATTATCTTAAAAAAAGATTTACGTTTAATTTTTATGTGCCGGACATAAATATGAGAAGCAAAAAAAAAATAACAACAAAACATTGTGTTCCAGTGAACTTCCAGAAAAATGACGCATGCATAATATAGACATCAATTAATGCGATCTTTTGGAGAAAAGTTTAGAAGAAAAAAACAAATAGCGAGAGCAGCAACAACCATGCCCATCCATTTGGAAAGCAACAAAAAATATGGAAACCGTTAGCAGAGCTTAGTTATGTTGGACTTTGTACTTTTTTGTCTCGGTTCATGTAGCAAAAAAAATAGACGCACACATCAAGAATGACATGCATTTTTTGCAGAGTCGAAAATCCTATTGAATTGAGAAAAAAATACACACACTGTTTTTCTATCATCATCATTTACATAAATGAGTGTTTAATTAGATATTGTTAAGACCAGAAGTTTTATTTGAAACGCACACTTCTTATCGAATTCTTATTATCATTCGCCTAGTGAATGGTCTTTTATACGATGGTTAAATGTGAATGGAAGAAGAATGTTTCGTCCGGTTGATTTCAAATTTAACTTTCTTATTCGGAATGTTGACAAATCGTAGCACGCTCGGATATTCTTACTCCAAACGCGGTCAAGTAATATTCTCTGTTTTAAATTATAGTTTGTCGTATGAAAAAAAAAAGTTCCAAGATTTAAAAAAAAGTTTTGCATGTCAAAGTTTGTGCACGCCTCAAAAATATCTAGATATAATCAATGGAGTACAAATTTACGTCATTTGAACATGATCAAGGTGGCAAAACAAGCGCACAACGCACCAAGAAAATGATATATACACACACAGAGAGAAACTGGTTATAAATTTGTTGGACATCTTGATATGTATTTCGTAGAAAAAGACGTTCGAGCACATCTCATAATCAGATTGTTGCTTTCATGAACATATTAAAGTGGACATTTTTAATCATGGAAAAATGCCACATTGAATAGACAATGTAACCGTTACAAACTAAATAGCTAATTGAATAGACATTTGGTTTGACGCACTTGAACTGGAAAACAGCTTCTGACGTTTGGACAAGACTTTGGTGGCGTGGATTGTGTTGATTAATTATAATAAATATAAATAATTACGCCGATGGAAAGAAACCATAATTCATAAAATATATATGAATTCATAGAATTTGTGGTCGAACAATTATTTATTAAATATTTTTGTTGTTGTTTATTGTCATTTTTATGAATATTATATTATGATTAAAAATATAAGCGACAAATGATTTATGCATAATTTATGAGGGACGACGCTTCCACTTGCAAATGCATTCCACACAGAGGGAGAAAGAGAGTATTCTGATTCATTTGATAATTAGTGGCTGTACAGTTTTGCTACAATACCACTTAATAAATGACGACGATAATCCAATTAGGAGATAAGCTGGACCGAGAGATTAAGTTACACACAAACACACACACACTTTAACATTCAGGCACAGTCTGATTCAGTGCCGCGCATTATTAATCTGGCAAATTGGTTTAACGAAATTGTGCACGGCGCACGTCATGTGCTTACTATTACAATGTGGTTTTGTTTCCTCAATTGTAAATTAAGCGCTGACCCGTCAAAAATATGACATCCTTGACTTTGACTAAAAAAAATTCACTGTATTGCACGTGGAAAATACACCGGTGCGAACTGAGATTGAACGGGAACACACACCGCACACTCGCGCGCGCACTCACACTTAGTCAATTGCATTTTGATAATTAGAAGCTGAAGATGGAAATAATTAATTGCAATACGTATTGTATACGATTTGCTGAACGCAAATTTGTACATGCATATGCCAAAAGACGTACTTTCAAATTGCAACGTAATAATCATTTATTTTTCTTTAATTTTTCTTTTTGTCATTTATGAATTAAAATAAAGAAACACAAAAGAAATATACAAAATGAGAAAAAGACGCAGGGGAAGTTTAACGAAATAGATATAGGCAAAGGGAGAGAAAAAAAAATGCAAATTTAAAATTGTGCAATTAGATTTGTTCAACATTTCCACTTCTTATTATTATTAGTGTTCGATTCGCACGTAGTCATTATTGAAGAAAAATAATGATAAATAACAACAAATGAGTTCCAGTCAATGAATTGTAAAATAATACAGTCGTTACAAAAACAAAATTATTATCGAGAATCGAATTATTAAGATCAATGCTGCTGCTGCGTATATCAATAGTTTTATGAACAATGTTTTCCTTCACAAAATTCATATCTATGAGCTTCCGGTGAAATAGAAAAAGTATTGAATGTCCGTCCCTGAACGATTCGACATACAAATCACTTTCCGTCGAAGCATAGAATAACCCACAAACCGATTTTGAGGTTGTCAACATTTTTATGCCGATATACTTTTCGAATAAATTATGCGGATGAGAAAGAGAAGAAAAAAAAAAATATATAATATAAATAAACGTCGAGCGAACCGAAAAAGAAGTAACGAAGAAAAAACTCATCAAAAATGCAAACAAAATCAATGTGTATTTTTAGCAACAATGCAGCCAAATGAATGAAAGAATGCATGTATATTTGTGGCCACAATTTGAATATTACGTGCAAATCTACATGCAAAGAACATGTTAAACGCACTTTTCGCACGTTATTCTTTTCATTTTGGGCTTTTCCCAAGAACAAGATTTCATAAAATTCATGTTATTTTGAGAGCGAAAAAAAAAATCTTCCACATGGTCATAATTGATGTTTACATACGAAACAAAAAGCATTCCCACAAAGAAAAAATATGACAAATAACTTGTTTATCAAGTCTATGCAAAACGACTGATAAGTGATGTCTTTCAATGGTCCAAAGTTTTGGCTTTATTTTCTGCATATTATCCCACATAAGCATAAAGCATAGAAAACAAAAAAAAACAGAACCAAGACAAAACCGAAAGAAACACACGATTTTGAATGGTTAAAAACGAAGGGGAAATGCGTTGCATGTATGCAAATTGGACGAAACCCAAGCTAATGTGATCCAGCAAGCCCATAATAAGAATATGTGGTTTTTGTTAATGATTGTTGTAACAATGAATGAGTGCGTTACGAACTAATTTTAAAACTATGTTTCCACAATTCATTGCGATTGAGACACGTCATTCGCATTTTATGTTTATTATTATCTTTTCCTTCTGAGCATTAAATAAATTAATTGTTGATTTTTGTTGACTTGTTCTTACCGTAAAGTAACATTCTCTCTCTCTCTCTCTCTCTCATTTGGGTTATCTTATTTGTCGTCGAGATCAATTGAATTGAAACTGGCCGTAATATTTGAAATGAGAGAAGAAAAAAAAACAACACATCATCGCAAGAGTTGAAACGTCAGCGGCATGTCAATTTTTTTTCTCTCTGTTTCTGCTTCTTACTTTGCTGTCCATCTTTCTCTATCTCTTACGTTCATTCTCTCGCCATTTTAACATCGTGTTTGTTTTCGATAATCGCGCTTACGTATTCTCTCGTGTTCGAGTAAATTGCGCGCTCGCGCGCACACCTGAACACGGTGACCGTCGCGATATTAACACACAACACACTATTTCGACACACTCTCAACTCAGTTTTTCATCGAGACTAAAAACTTGTATATAAAGCACCGATCGTACCGTCGTTTATCAACAGTTCATTCCTAAATGAAACTGAGTTAACACGTTGTACCACTTGTTAACACGATCTGTTTTGCTAAAAAAAAAAACGAAACCATCCGAGAACAAAAACTTTTTTTTCTTTCCAATTTTTAATTTAGTTTATTGCCTATACACGGTGAGTGTTTATCATATTTCAACATTTTTGCTAATTTAATAGTTATTTTGTGATTTGATAAGACGTTGCGTAGAATTTTTGTTTCGTATATCCAATCGGTGTTTTTGTAAATACTTAGCTAAATCGCTAAAAATCAGGTCAATTCTTTTCCACCAGTTTTACAAAAGTGGTTTGAAAATTGATTGCAGTGCAACATAGTTATAAATCTGTGTACCATTATATAATTTGACATTTTTCTTCGCACCTATATTCCGGTGTTTTTTTTTGTTTTAAATCCATGCTCTATGGCGTACATACCTACTAAATATCGATCAAAATATCGTAAATTTATGTGTCAAAATAGGAGCAAAATACAAATGCCGCGCTTCACATCGAATTCAAAATTTAATGGATTGAACTAGTTTCGTGGTTTGCAAGTAAACTGAAACGATTTAACCAAATTAAACATTGATTAATCTCGACTTAAATCGAAACTAATTAAAATGTCAATACAGTATTTTTCGCCGTTGCATTATGCTATTGACGTTGTGCACCGTGTAATTTGCGTGAGCGTTAAATTCATTTTGAGCGATGTGCACAAGCGACCGAATAAGAGAGAGTTAGTGAATATCAGAGAAAGAGCGAGATGGAAAAAGAAAAACCCACATCGATTTTATTCAATGAACTGATTTTCAATCAAAAGGGAGCTTTTTTATGTGGTGATCTGCGTGTATCGTTTTAACGATTTAATTTAACATTTATATTGCATAAATTTGCGTTAATTCCTTATTTAAATGTAAATGGAGATTTGAAAAAAAAACCGAATCGTTTCCCAGAAGTGTACACACTGTGACATAACGATAAATTTAATTTGAAATCGTAGACTCAACATTTCTTTTACCATAATCGCTGGCCATTGGTCGCCGCGTAATCAAACTAGGACACATGGTAAAGGATGAACAGTTGTTTATTTACTGTCAATACAACCAAAACACTGTTATTTCATTGAAATCGTTCGTATTCCGCATTTGAATATCAAGGTTCTCTCTCTCTCTCTCTCTCTCTCTCTCGCCTTTATGGAATTTTCAATGAAATGTGCAAAATATTTGTTATTGTTACATTTTCGGGTGTAAAAATAAATTTTCCAACGGAATCTTCGGTGTTCAAGGTGCTTCCACATTTGCTGCACACGATTTTTCGATCGCAGTTTTCCCCATCGATCGATTAACAGCACGATCATTGCACGAGGCCAGTCTCGCTCCTTTTCACTTTTATTTTACATCGAGAGACAATGAGAGATTTCACAATACATATGTGTGTGTGTTTCATTTTTATATTGCATGACGAAAAAATCGTCATAATAATTCGAATAATTCTCATGTTTTATCGAATAATAAGTGCGATTGGAGGGCGGTGATTCGGTCAATGTGTGGAATCTTCATGATTTCTTACATTAATAATTTCAAGTGTAGAGATGCGTTTATGCTGTCGCACCATGTACCTTGTCTACCTTAATTGGAAATCTGATAATAATTACAAGTTATTACAAGTTACAAAGAGCGCAATGAATGCATGCTGAAGGACGTGCATTATATGAATTGCAATGTGCTTATTATTCCGTATATGTGATTTGTTTTTATTTCTCGTTGAATCGCGTTGATTTGTCGTTGAGCTTTTGAAATCAATCTTAAAACAAATAACAAGCCAACGTGTAAATGTCTATTGAGCACGATCGAAATGATGTCTAGTCAAATTATACTAGGCACCGATTATATTCTCCTTTTTTTTGTTGAAGTCATTGTACTGTTATGAATTCGTCACTAACTATCATTTCCTTTTCTTTCTGTTTGCGATAAATTTTCAGATGAAATACACTTTGATTGCTATTTTGGTGACATTGGCTGTTGTTGCCGCTAAGCCAGCCGCAGAAACGACTTATACATCACGTTTCGATAATATTGACCTCGATAAAATTTTGAATACAAAACGTTTGTTCGACAACTATTTCAAATGTTTGATGGACCAAGGAAAATGCACACCAGATGGCAAAGAATTGAAAAAATTATTACCAGACGCATTGAAAACCAACTGCGCAAAATGCACACCAAAACAACAGGAAGGAACTGATCGCGTTCTTCGTTTCATGATTAATCATAAACCAGAAGAATGGAAACAATTGAAAGCAAAATATGATCCAGAAGACGAATTTGTGAAAAAATACCGAGAAGCTGCTAAAGCACGTGGCATCGAAATCTAAACAATTTTTTTTTTTGAAGTAAATAGTTAACAAATACATCACACAAAACACACACACAAACATAGGAGCAGCATGTTATGAGCATTTTAGGACTGTTTCGTTTCGAAAAATTCTATTTGCTTTACAGAATTGCTTTCTATTTCTATCCGTCCTCCTCTTTCCTTCCCGTTAATTATTATGTTTATGTATTTGATTATGTGATTTATAACAAGAAGCAAGGTTATACTCTCTATGAAACTAATTTAAATAAATATTGATATGACACACAAAAAGAATCATCGTCACAGCTTATATAATTTTCCTCATTTCGTTGATGCATAATGTGCGTCTGCTTTCTCAAAGCATACATGGTCATTTCGTTATTACATTTATACATACAATTTGGAATATACGCCATTGGCGCATCATACATATTGAATGTAATCTAAAATGATTCGTGATAATATGATAGTCGATAGACATATAGAAAATATTACCATTTATTGATATTCATCGACTGAATCACACTGAACTCGACATTAAATGGTCATCAAATCTTCATGGCGCTAAAGTCTGATTTTATTCAAATTTGATCATGAATTTTGTTTGCACTGTGAACACAACATTGGAATTTCGGCACACAAAAAACACACCTTCATTCATACATGTCATAGATTTTGATCCACACAATTCTGTGTACACAAACACTATAGGTAATTCCTTAGCTTTCTACGATATTCACGTACAATTCTAGCGTTGGCATTAGAATTCCAATTGATGCTTCGGTAAGTAAATAATTTGCATATGACAAATACTGTTTCTTCCTCTTCTTCTTCCGTACTCAATATGATTTTGCGTGAGATATGAAGTGAAGAAGAGGATTACAGAGAAAAATCAACAACGGCAAGCTTAAGCGTGTCAATTATCAACTTGTAAGTGAACACGCAATTCAAAAAATGAAATAAAATAAAAAGATACACTAGCAACCAATTTACTGCAAAGTCAAATTGAAAATTCGTTAACAAAAATATACTTGAAATTAATCTTGCGACATACTGACAAAAATAGTAAATAATCGGTAAAATACATCGAAGTAAAAATTTATTGAATTTAAATGTTTGGTTAAATTTTTGGCTTCAGCTTTTTTTTAAATATGTTTATGGAATTTACGAGCTGGTGCCGCCAGTATTACAAAATATCTGCTTTTATTTTGCTTTAAAGCCAGCCAGCTCGTATTTTAAAACGAAAAATGACAAAGGCAGCGGTTATTGGACAAGCTGGATTATTATTATAATGAGCAAACCATAAGCGGCGTATTATTGTGTAATATATTTTTTGGGTGAACATGGACCATTTTGAGATTATATCTGAGCGTGTATATCATTTTTCTAATGTGTTTCTATTTTTATGTTATTTGTTTGCGAAGTCTAATGGAAAGATCTGAAATTTATTAAAAAGACAATTTAATGGCATTAAATTGGTACTTAAATGTAATCAGTGTCATGAAAACGATTGAAAATGATCCGAATGCCCTTGCAATAGATGTACTATAAAAAGGCATCTTCTTTCCTGTAGAACATCAATTGTATTTTGGATAGTTTAAACGAAATACACGCACTCAACATTCAAAGACTTCGGGATAGGATTTGGTCTGGCAAATAGTTGGTGATTTTTTTTTCCTTCTTTTGGTGCATAAATTGTCTTGGTCTATTTGAACGGTGAAAATTTTCCATTGTTAAGAAAAATGGTGTTAAAATTGATCATGTTCTGTTTAGTGATAAGTGTAGTTTACATCGAATGGGCATCGGCCGATGGAGATACGCCCAAAACACATGGCTACGATACGAAATATGATAACATCAATTTGGACGACCTACTCAAAAATGATCGTTTGCGAAAAAATTACGTTAAATGTTTATTGAACGAAGGACCGTGCACACCAGACGCAACCGAATTGAAAAGTAAATTCAAAACACACACAAATCCATTTAAACTAATTTCAGAATCGATTGCATCACTGAAAGATTTTCTCGTTAGACTCACTTCCAGACGCGATAGCCACCAATTGCTCAAAATGCACCGAGAAGCAAAAAAATGGCTCCGAAAAAGTGACACACTTTCTAATTGACAATGAACCAGATGAGTGGGATCAATTGGCGGCTATTTACGATAAGGACGGTGAATACAAACAAAAATACATTGCATCGAAGGTGATGGAATCGACAGTGGCGACCGTTAAAAATGCCGATGGCAACGAGGAAAATGCCAAAAATGAACGAAATGAACAAAACAACGATGAAAATAAAAATGAATAACACTTCGATTCGACACATTTAGAAGCATAGAAACAAGCATCACAACACGGAATACGAACTTTAACCATTTGATTTACATGAAATTTGTTTGATTTTGTAGAAACAGAATACGCACCAGCAAATAAATGGTCAAAAAATATGAATAAAAACACAATTAATCAATGTAGTTTTTATTTTATTATACATTTTTTTTTTTGCTTATAAATAATTTAAATGAGCTACTCCACACCACCACCATCATTGAAATCAACGTTGATTTGGGATTTTAAAAAGTTTTTGGCTGTTCAAAATGCGGAATTTAATTTCAGTAAAAACGGGTTTCGGTTCCAGTGATGTTTTTTTTTTTTCAATTAAAATTCGATTTGTTTCATTGATTCTAATATATTTAGCTGAATTCAACGATTCCAAATTACGCCACTATATTCTTTGTTTATTTTATGTTATTTGCATGACCGCCAACTGAATGAAATGAACACAGTTCGATGGAATTTGGATGAATCAGTCAGTGTAATGAAAATAACTTTGAAATGTGTAATATTTGTTAAGCTTTTTTGCGTTTTCGTTTTTGCATTCAAAGAACTTTTTCTCGAAAGTTCCACATTTACTTTAGACGCATAATGCAGCTTGAAGCGATTTTAACAAGTGAATCGCACACTGTATTTCTGTAATCGAGACGGCGAGTGTAGAATGATGACGATGTCTGGCGTGAGCACTTGAATTGAAAACGCTATGCGGCGACATTGCAATAACAAAAAAAAAAATGCTCGCCGTGCATGCTGTGGTTTGGTCAACGATTTATTGCGCCGATTTCCAGCCATAACACATTTTACGAGGTTTTTACCTAAAATAAACGTACGTATGAAATATACAAGCCATCGCCGTTCATATATTTATATTTAATCAACACGAATAGCGGCAACAACAACAACAACAACAAACTAAAAAAGCATATAAAATAATAAATTGTATTTCATCACACACGCGCACACACACATTGCCCACTTCAACTGCGCCAGACGTTGAAGTGATGTGGATTCCGCATTGCGTTACTATAAATCCACTCTATTTCCCCAGATTAATTTATTTTTATTTTTTTTTGCGATAATTTTCCGATGCACATCAGTCAAAAGACCATGCCAAACAAGCGAATGAGTTAAGCGAATTTGGCATCAAAGAGCAAAACGAAAAAAAAAACCATAACACATATGCACCTATTCGACTTGATTTTCAACAACTGAAAACGTCTCTCCGTCAAGACACACAACTTATAAAGTTGGATGGTTGCGTTTCCTCAAATGTATTGTGCACACAATTTCATCAGGTTGGTCATACACAATCACACTTATCACATTCGCTCACATTGTGTCTACATCGAGTCGTTCGTGTGCTTATAAATTGATTTTTGTTGTTGCTACTGAAACCGAAAACAGCAATGTAAAAAAAAAAGTAGCAATACACTCTTTGTGTGCTCGCTCAATCCATTCGAAATCATATGTTATTTCTCGATAAAGTTTCTCATTCACCACAATACCAGAGCAGTTGTATTTCGATTGACGAGCAGTGCAGGGCGCGCGCGCACATCGATCATTGTGATTTGTTTTTGTTTTCATTTGTTTGATGTTTAAATCGTAGTTTTCTGTTTTTTTTTCAGTTTTAGTCTATTTAATCGTTAAAATTTGCAATTCAGTCAATGTTTGAAATGCATTAATTCTCAACTTCCACGGTCTGTATCAATAAAACAACACCGAACGAAATCTTAAATGCCAAAGCATCAAACATACACAACGGTGTGCATAACTATCGGCTGATAAATATCAAATATGAAACATTTGATATTGTTGTTTGTTTTACTATTGCATTCAATACGTTTCTACAATGATTGTCGCAGTGCTTCCGCCTATACAAATGTAGCAGTGGCTGAAAATACGCATTCATCGTCTAATCGATACTTTCAATTAGAAAAAGGTAGGGTCCTTCAGTTCTAAAATGACGCTCGTGAACTTACTTTTGTTTTTGTTTTTTTTTTTTTCGTGTTTAGAAAATGAATTTTTTTCAGATGACGAGCGATTTTTGCTACGTCGCAGCAAAGGAGATCGACGTGGATGGGTTAAAATCTAAACGATTTATATAGATCGTTGATTTATTTAACACAGCATCTCGTCAATACATTCCACCAGAACTGTTAACATTGTGAACGCGATGACATACCACCGAGGACTCGAAACAATTTGTGCAAATTATAGGAGACAAATCTAGGCTAGAAATCAACCCATTGCTTAACAATGAAATTTTTGTGATTTTCCAAATTTTAGCATAATTTTGTTGTTGTTGTTATATTTTTCATTCGTTTAACTACTAGTTTGTAATTAAAATACATCGAAATTGACCTTGGAACTTACACTTAATTTATTCAGACAAATTTTTCGAGTTACACACATATGGATACAAATAGTTGAACTTGTTTTCCTCTATTTTGACCTTTTGATTTTGTTTCGCATTTTATAAACTATATTGTGTTCAATTTTATAAAAGTCATTTGTAACGGAATTATTCATTTTACGGAAAATTATCTCTGCATAATTTAAAAATAAAAAAAGGGGAAAAAAACCTCAGCTAAAACAATGACGATGGGTCAATCGTAAGCTGACGCCACACACAAACACGCGCATTGGCCGAATCATGTAAATAAATGTCAAAGAGCAACTCATATCAACAACAAATGAATACACCGATATATCTTTTTTATATTGAGAATAAATAAAAGAATTAAGTATTTCGAAATATTTTGAATGAAGAATTGTGGATTCGACATTTCTGCTCTTTGTGTGCTGTGCGCATGGAAATCGGCTGTTGTGCGGTGTGAATAATGTTGCAAGAAAAAAAATGCCATACATGCAATAACGTTTAAATTTGCAAACCACTTACGCTTCAGTAGATTTAATTCAAGCCAATAATTGTGCAATGTGAAAATGTAAACGGTAATTTCAACTGAAAAAGTACTTATACATATATGTATTGTTGAAAACTCAAATAAATAAAATATACTGAACATTTTTGTCGTTTGGTTTTACTAATAAAATATAAATTAAACGGTGATTTTTTGTTAGTTTTAAATCGTGGTCGATGGGCTCATTGGATGTAGATTATGTTTTCTTGTATTGAATCGAAAGAGTGGCATAATTCAACAAAGAGTAAGCATACGTGTCGAAATGTTTAATATTGATAACATTTTGTGTGTGCATTTCTTGATGTGCTCGGTTTTACAAATTAAAGAACTTTGACTGCATAAGCAAAATTAAATTGAACATTTGTGCTGATGCTGTCTTCTTAAAGTTTCTTTAAGAATGTGTTCGTCGTTCCATTCTTTTCAACAAAAATGAGTGCATTTAGTTTAGTTTTATATTTTGTTTGAAAGAGCTGACTTCAAATCTCTTGCAAAAAGCGATATAGTGTGGAAGGTATATGTATGTTCCAAAAGTTGATGAAACCTGAAATTCGCTCTTTGCTTGTTTTCTTCTGCTTTTTATGGGCGAACGATAAAGTTTTGTGATTCGAACAAGAATTGAGAACTAAAAGCTACTTGAGATATAAACTCGAACATATGGTTTCTCGAAGTTGCGTTGCTGTTGGAATGTTCATATTGAAGATTTTTTTTTTTTGGTAACATAAACAAAGGCGTAATCTTTGCATGTATAATCAATTGTTTATTTCATGCGCCGAAACATTAAATAGTAGGAAACAGCCGAATTCACAAGCTGAAACAATCGACAAACAAAGAATATACATTTTTAGGCACCGCAGTGTCTAAATTTCGGAGTTATACAGTTTATCATCTAAATATTTTATATTTCATCTAATGATAAATTTTCATTTTCGATGAAATATGAGCTTTTTTGATGCTGTATAAATCCAAAATTTAGACACTGTGTGTGGTAAATGTGAGAATGTTGATGTTTAAATATCAGTTTGATATTTACCTTTGAAAAGGTGACCATGTCGCAATTAATCAATCCAAATCCGTGAAAGTACAATGAACGTTGTGATCGTTGAATCGTTAATTGCACAAATAGACGATACTTTGCCGGATAATGATTCCATCCAGTTTCATAGATTTTATCGCCAATTGACTGAATTTCACTGGTCACCTTTGTTGCGAAATAGCTGTATACGTACATACAAGCAATCCCCATCCATAGACCGCTAAAACTCACAAAAGATTCGGCATTCATTTTAGTAGCTGTCTGAAATTTCGATAAAAAGGCGATAAATGGCATATAAAAAGTTCAATGAATTTCCTTTCGATCTATTCTCTAATTCTTACCATTTCACACTGAAACATTGAGGTGGCAAAAAATATAACGTTGCCATAAAGGGTTGAGATGATAACAGCTCGTACTAGATTGATTAAATTCTCGGCCATTCTACAAAAATCGAAGTGCACTCAGTGATCGACGGTGAAATTTCAATTTATTTTGAGTTGCATTTTGAAACTTACTCATAAATTTCGATGTGATATTGAATGATTTTTGCGAATTTTCGCTTGAAATCAATCCAATTCACGTACTTATCGAATGCCATTTGATTGATGTCATTGAGATAAATGACATAGCTGCGCACAAAAGCAATCAAGTAAATGCACATCGATACAAAAAACGAACCAATCGCCGACACACAAGTCAAAATCGTAAATCCACCAAGCATTTCCAAGCATAAAATTACACAATACCGCCCGAATGTAGTCTGTTCAATTGTAAATCTGAAACAGGTGAATCACAATAAAATGCATACGTATAAAAAAGTCCGTCGTTTATATTGTTGGCATGCCTGCGACATGGTAAACATCGTTCGAAACGTTGTTACATTACATTGCTTTATATGGTACCATCCAACCTTCGGCCCGAACACCCTTTGCCGATAAAATTGCTGAAATTGTTATCGATGCTGTTAAAATCAATCCACAAACAAAACCAAGCAATAAGCTTGTTATACGACGGGTATACGAATCACTTTGTGAATCAGCATCGGCGAATATTTTCCCCGATTTCCCGGTGCAATCTGTAGTCGAAAAAAAAAAATTTAATTTAAAAAAATAATTAATTCCGTCAGCGCAGTAGATGGAATGCAATGTCAGGGAAAATTAAACCATACATTTTCGCAT